GGCCGAAACCGACGGACCTGGACCCGCAAGAACAACAGCCGCGACGCACTCTCGCGAACCGAACATGGCCAATTCACGAATCGGCGTGTCAGGCTAGGAGGTCTGTCACTCGCCATCGCTCGGGCGTCCATTCCCCGTGCATGTTTCGAGTTCGTGCGTGTTCTTTTCTCGCTCAATGATCAGAGATGCTCCTCGAGGGTCCTCGCCAAGAAAAAATGCACACGTCCGAGCGATGCCAAGATATAGGCAACGCAGTCCTTTGCGACTTCCCCCACCCCCCCGCGCGCGAAACGGGGAGAAGAAGTCGCTGGGGCACGGGACAGGGTCGCCCCGGCTGCGCCGGGGAAGACCCCAGGGACGAAGGCGAGGGCGAGGGCGACGGGCGAGAGGAAGGGAGCCAGGGGGGAAGGGAGGAGGCCCCCCCATAAAAGTCCCCAGGAGGCGCCCGAACGGTCCCTCCGACCCATGATCCATGGCCCCTCCGCCCTCCGGAGGCCGCCACCGCACCACCTCCCCCCGCCCCCGGCCCCTGGCGCGCCGCTCCCGCGGCCCGCCCTGGCCTGAGCGCGCGGGCGCGCCCCCGCGGCCCGACGCGGAGGGAGGAACGGGCGGGGTGCCAAAGGTGCTCCTGGGCCACAGCTCCTCCTATCCCCCTCCTCCTCCTCCTCCTCCCTCCTCCTCCTCCTCCTCCTCCTCCTCCTCCTCCTCCTCCCTCCTCCCTCCCCCTCCCCTCCGCTCTCCCCCTCCCCCTCCTCCTCCTCCTCCTCCTCCTCCCCCTCCCCCTCCCCCTCCCCCAGCTGCCGCCCCTGCTCGAGAGGTTTCTGGGCGCTGTAACAGGTACAGCGAACCTCTCACTAGGGGCGGGCGGCTACGCGTGCTGGCCCGCGCCCGCCGTTGCGCGGATCGGCGGCCTGGGCCTTGGCCGCGACTGCGTCGCGTGGCACGCCGACGGCTTCCCGCTCGCCGCGGGTGCAGTCCAGCGGCAGGAGCTGAGTGCCAGCTGGCGCCGTCGTGAGTGACAGGCCCGCGCCAGTGCATGTGTGCTGCTACGAGTTGTCGTCGCGGCGCAGCGGCTACGCAATCACCACAGTTCGATGTCGTGGCAACATCGCGGAGGAGGTAAAGGGGGCGACACGGTCAAGGGCAAGGGCAAGCAGGTCGTGCCCGCCCCGCCGCCGCCAGCAGCATGGAGATGCGAGCAGTGCGGCGAACCCAACATGATGCAGGATAGTCCGTGCAGAGTGTGCTACCCAATGCTTGCCAAAGCGCCGTGGGCCAATGTTGGGCCACAGCAGCAGATGGTAGGCAGGCGACAGCAGACGCCAAACCCGCAGTCCGATCAGCGTGCCCGATCGTCGGGGGGGACGGCTGGTCGCAGCCAGCAGGGAGAACGTGCTGATAGACGACGACGACGTGGTCGTAGCCGGCAGGGAGATCGTCCAGTGGCTGGTGCAGGGACGCCGGAGCCTGAGGCGGAGGCTGCGCCGGAGCCTGAGGCTCGCAGAGGCCGCGCGACGTCTGGGCCGAGGCGGTCCCGAGCCTCGCGTCGGTCGAAGTCGGAGGATGTCACGTCCGAGGAGGAGGGGGAGGGGAAAGAGGAGGAGGAGAGGGAGGAGGAGGAGGAGGAGGAGGAGGAGGAGGAGGTGGAGGGAGGAGGAGGGAGGAGGAGGAGGAGGGAGGAGAGGAGGAGGAGGAGGAGGAGGAGGAAGGAGTAGGGGGGGAGGAGAGAAGGAGGAGAAGAGGAGGAGGAGGAGGGAAGGAGGAGGAGGAGGAGGAGGAGAGGAGGAGGAGGAGGAGGTGGAGGGTACGGACACGGAGGACTCGGCGGCGCAGCCGGCAGGAGTGTGGCCCGCGCTCCCCGAGGGGGCCCGGGCGCACCCCTCACGGCAGGAGCTGCCTCGCACCAGTGAAGCAGGCAGTGCAGGCACGCGGGAGGCATCTTCGTCGACCGGTCATCGCCTCCGCCAAGAAGTTGCGTTCAAGTCCGCAGCTTGGGCGGCATGTGTGCGTGGTCGACGATTTGGCGCAGGAGTGTGCAGTCCTCGTGACCATGACAGTGGTGTGCAGATCGCAGACGGCCAGTCTCCAGCAGACGGACAGGCTCCAGATGGAGCTGGCCGAGAGGAGGATGAGACGGACGCAGGTTGACTTCGTTGAGGCACAAACTACCCTCGTGCACATGTTAGTTGTCCTGACTCAGCGTTACAATGAGTTGGCGAGGGCGCAGCTAATGTTACGCCAACTGGAGACGCACTACCCAGATCCGAACAACGATGTCATGATGTCGCCGATGGCAGCCGACATCACTGAGCTCCAGCGGGGCCAGGTGAACATGGCGCAGCAGTTGTTGGGGCTGTCGGCGGTGCTCGGCGAGCTGCAAGCGACGTGCGGGCAGCTCGCAGCAGGCGCGGCACAGGGACAGCAGCCTACAGCAGTGGCACCAGCAGTGCCAGAGCGGGAGGCAGAGGTACTTGCACCGCAAGGCCCGGCCGCGCCCGTTGTAGGGTCGGGTGCGGCCATCCTGACACAGGCCCAGGCGCGCGCAGCGCCAGAGCTACAGGCAGATGTCGATGGCGGGCATGGCGGGCCTGTGCCAGAAGATGCTGGCGATGATGTGGCTGCCAACGACTGGAAGGCCAAGAAGGCTGCCCGATCGGCCCGCGCCAAGACAACTGCCGAGCGCCGTGCAGACGCCGCCGAGGAGGAGCGCCGCGCCATGCGGGCTAGAGACATCGCATGCCGCCGTGCCATGCGGGCAGCTGCCGAGCGCCGTGCAGAGGCCGCCGAGGAGGAGCGCCGCGCCATGAGGGCAAAGGGCATTGCATGCCCAGGGCAGCCGATCATCGAGGCAGCCATGGCGCCCGGTGGGGCGGCACCGTCAACACCGACGTCAAGCAGGGTGGAGCTGCGTGTGGTTCCTGGAGAAGAGCGCCCGTTGCCGAAGGGACGAGATGAGGCAGCCCGCAGTACAGATGTTGAGAGGGATCGAAGCCCCAGACGATCACATGACGGACATGGGGAAGACGTGTTTTCGCAAGGGTGGTGAGTCTCCCTGCGGAGGTGATTGCTGCCAGCGGTGCTGGCTCTTGCCCAGCGCACGTCACCTCCGCATGTGTTGCAGGCTCATTTGTGCAGTGCTGTCTTGCCGTGCAATCCACTTCCATATTGCAGCAGGCTCGTGGATGACGTGTCCAGGCCTGCCGCAAAATGTTCTCTTGCAATTTTTGCCTCATAGTAAAAAGAAGAGTACGAATTGCCTCGTCTTTTCTTGCATCGTCACTGCTCTTCCATGCGCCTCTGCATATTGTTGCTGCGCATTTGTCAGCATGCATTGATCGTCGATTCATAGTTCAGTGCAGCGACGTAAGTATTGGAGGTGGATGTCCGCATGTGTCGACGACAGTGTGCGGGAGTTTCCGCGGGCGTCCCCCGCGAACCTGGTAAGCATTGCTGGCCACGAGGTGTCCCCTCTTGAGGTCAGTGTGACTCCCATGGTCCCACCCATCATCATCCTCCCTTCTCATCCTGTTTCTTGCATCGCATGTGTGTTGCGAGCGGCAGTAAGGAGTAGCTGGGCTGGAGCAGGGTTATGGCGTGGGAGAGGGCGATGGAATTGTTTCATGGCGTCACATGCTTGACCCCACGCGCGGGCTGAGGCTCGATAGTATGAATAGCGTGCCCCGCCATGCCGAGCTGGCGAAGTGTTGGCTGCAGAAGGCATGCGGAGAGGCGAATGTCATGATGCTACATATGTGCACTATTTCCCGAGGGGGTAGACCCGTAGAGCCCTAGGGGTGCCCACGATGGCTTAAATGCGACGGAGCGTGTATCCCCTCGGGACCATGGAGTATCACCTTCAGGTATTCCTCTCAGCCTCCACCTCCGCACCCTCCCACGCTCGCGGCGAGCAGCAGAGAATGGGGTAGCAGGGAAGGGGTGCTGCTGCCTGCTGTCACTGAATTGCATGCCCACGTTTTGCGGACGTCGTGGAATGATTGTCAGGACCGTCTCTTTGATGGTGCTCAGGCGCAGGAGGCTTGGCCGAGAGTGCGAATAGCGTGCCCCGCCACGCCTTCTAACGCGGGGGTGCCAGCAGCGGACCCGCTGAGGGTCGATGTCCTTCTCAACCGCTCTCTTCTGCTATGATCCCCCCCTCTCTCCACCCACGCTCGTGCGCCGTTAATGGCGTAGCCTGTTCGGCTAGCGATAAGGGCGGGGATGGGTCTGTTGGTGGGCGGGAATGGAGATGTCTTGACACTTACTTCGCCCGTTTGGGGTCGGAGCCTGCTTTGCATTGACACGCACGGCGCCAAGCTGTCATACCTTTAGGTATGGTCGTTGGGGGTGGGATGGGCATTGGGAGGCTGGGCCGTGATTGCGTACTCTCCTTGGCGCCCGTGCTTCAATGCTCTCGATTGCTCGTGTGTATGGAGCTAGCTGAGTGCCGACAATATCTGACCGCTGTCCAAGGCGAATCAGGTCGCAATTCAAATTCCCCCTCCCCCTCCTCCTCCTCCTCCTCCTCCTCCTCCTCCTCCTCCTCCTCCTCCTCCTCCTCCTCCTCCTCCTCCTCCTCCTCCTCCTCCTCCATCCTCCTCCTCCTCCCCTCCCCCTCCCTCCTCCTCCTCCTCCTCCTCCTCCTCCTCCTCCTCCTCCTCCTCCTACTCCTCCTCCTCCTCCTCCTCCTCCTCCTCCTCCTCCGATTCCTCCTCTATTCTCCCCCTCTTGGGGTACGGCGGCTTCCCCAACCTTTCATTCCGACGCATGCTCCTCCACATCCCTGTTCAGGGCAACTCGCCTGGCCGTCGATTCTGGATCGGCCGGTGGGGTTGCGCGAAGCGTCTAGAACTAGAGGGCGGGGGGGGAAGGGGGAGGAGGCGCAGGTGGGGGGCTAGGCCGGAGGGAAGGGCAAGAGCCTGGGAGGCGCGATCCCCCCGACCCCGCCCGCCGTCCAGGCTCCAGGCCCCAGGCCAGGGAGAGGGGGGGCGACGGAGGCGCGCCGCCCAGAAGCCGCTCGACGCGAGCACCAGCGAGAGGGGCGCCGCAAACCACACGAGGGCCTGGCCAACCGGGCGGGGCAGGGTGCTGCTGAAGCGGACGTCCTCTGCCGCTCCCACCACCACCACCCGTCCAGTCCTACTCCTCTCTCCTATTGCCGCCGTTCCCCCTTCCCCCTCCTCTTCATGCTCCTCTGCCTCCTCCTCCTCCTCCTCCTGCACAGCAGCAGCATGACCATCATCATCACCATCATTAGCATCACCATTAGCATCACCACTAGCATCAGCATCATCATCAGCAGCAGCATCATCATCATCACCACCACCACCACCACCACCATCAGCATCAGCATCAGCATCAGCATCAGCATCAGCATCAGCATCATCAGCATCAGCATCAGCATCATCAGCATCAGCATCAGCATCAGCATCATCATCATCGTCATCACCATGAACAGAAGCATCATTACCATCATCCTCATCATCAGCAGCATCATCAGCAGCATCATCAGCAGCATCAACATCAGCATCAACATCATCGTCATCATCATCATCAGCAGCCTCACCGACATCATCAACACCATCATCAGTATCAGCATCGGCATCGGCATCAGCAACATCATCATCATCATCATCACCACCACCACCATCAGCATCAGCATCAGCATCAGCATCAGCATCACCATCATCATCATCATCAGCATCATCAGCATTATCATCATCATCATCTTCATCACCATGATCAGAAGCAGCATTATCATCATCCTCATCATCAGCAGCATCATCAGCATCATCAGCAGCATCAACACCAGCATCAAAATCATCACCATCATCGCCAAAATCGTCCTCATCCTCATCCTGATCATCACCATCATCATCATCGGCATTATCATCATCATCACCATCGCCATCATCATCAACAACATCATCATCATCATAATCATCAGCATCCTCATCCTTACCGTCCTTATCCTCAATATCATTATCCTGCTCATCATCAACGTCATCATCATCCTCATGATCCTCCTCGTGATCATCGTCATCCTTATCCTCCTCATCCTCCTCCTCCTCCTCCTCATTGTCATCCTCATCACCCTCAACATCATCATCATCATCATCATTCTCGTCCTCATCCTCATCATCCTCATCCTCCTGATCATCAACACCATCATCAGCATCGTCTTCATCATCGCATCCTCCTCCTCCTGCTCCTCCTCATCATCAGCAGCATCATCATCATGATCGTGATCATGATCATGATCATGATCATCATCATCATCATCATCATCATCATCACCAGCATCAGCAGCATCGTCATCATCATCAGCATCATCAGCAGCATCACCACCACCACCATCACCATCCTAAGCATCAGCAGCTTCATTATCATGATCATCATCCCCATCCTGAGCCTCATCAACCTCATCAACAGCAGCATCGTCAACATCATCAGCATCCTCACCATCATTCTCATCCTCCTCCTTATCCTCATCATCATCCTCAGCCTCATCCCCATCCTTCACCTCATCAGCATCGTTATCGTCATCGTCAGCAGCATTATCATTATCATCCTCATCTGCATCATCATCGTCCTCCTCATCAGCATCATCAGCATCATCAGCATCATCACCATCACCATCATCACCAGCACCAGCATCATCGTCATCATCAGCATCCTCATCCTTACCCTCCTCCTCCTCCTCCCCCTCCTCCTCATCATGGTCACCGTCATCGTCATCACCATCATCATCGCCATCGCCATCAGCGTCGTCAACATCGTCATCACCACCATCATCATCATCACCACGACCACCCCTATCATCATCATCATCCTCATCATCATCATCATCATCATCATCATCATCATCATCTGCAACATCATCATCATCCTCAACCTCATCCTCATCATCGATCGTCGTTATCATCATCAGGACCATCACCATCTCATATCATCCCATCTCATCTCATATATCATCATCGTTATCATAATCGTCATAGTAATCATCACCATCGTAAGCATCATCAGTAGCAGCAGTATCATGCTCATCAATCATCATCGCCATCGTCATAGCCATCGCCAGCATCGTCATGACTAGCATCCCGCTTACCAGATTCTCCTCACCCCCGTCCTTACAGTTCTGATGTTGCCCATCCTCCGCCACGTCCTCTTCATTCTCATACTGCGCCTGCTCATCCCGCCCCCCCGACACACTACTCCCCTTCCTCATCATTGGTCCGCCTTGTCTTACTCCTCCTCATCGCCGCCAACATCATCCGTCTCATGTTCATGGCCACCCTCATCATTCGCAATATGTGCCCCAGCCCCGTCCCTCTACCTCCTCCCCCAATCTCGGTCCTACCCCATCTTTTATCGCACTTCCTCCCTCCTCCGCCCTTGCTCTCCCGTCCCCCATTCATCGTGCTCCGTCCCCCGCCACCCATTGCCAGTCTCGTCCCGTCCGTCCGTTCTCAAATCCCTTTTCATCCACTGCGCCAGCACAGTCGTTGCCGTTGTCGTCGCAGGTCCATCAGCATCATCATCATCATCATCATCATCATCATCATCATCATCATCATCATCATCATCATCATCAGCATCATCATCATCATCATCATCATCATTAGCAGCAGCACCATCATCGTCATCGCCACCGACATCGCCATGTTCATCATCATCATCATCCTCCTCCTCATCATCATCTTCATCATCATCACCATCATCATCATAATCATCAGCACCAACAGCATCATCATCACCACCATTAGCATAATCGTCATCGCCATCGCCATCGTCATCAGCATCGCCATGATCATCCTCGTCCTCCTCATCCTCCTCATCATCGCCGTCGTCGGCGGCGTCATCATCATCATCATCAGCATCATCATCATCATCGTCATCATAATCATCATCAGCAGCATAATCAGTCCTCATCAGCATCAGCATCATCATCAGTAACCTGCATCATCATCATTATCATCATCATCATCATCCTCATCAGCACCACCACCAGCATCATCATCAGTATCAACATCATCAACGTCATTATCAACATCACCACCACCAGCATCACCACCACCACCATCAACATCATCGTCGTCGTCATCATCACCACCAGCGCCACGATCACCACCATCAGCATCGTCATCGTCGTCATCATCACCATCATCAGCATCATCAACATCATCAGCAACACCGTCGTCGTCATCATCAGCATCATCAGCACCATGCATCAGCACCAACATCATCACCATCATCATCACCATTTTCAGCTTACGCCTCGTCGCCGTCGTCGTCGTCATCATCACCACCACCATCACAAGCATCAGCACCGTCATCATCAACACCATCACCATCACCATCACCATCATCATCAGCAGCAGCATCAGCATCAGCATCATTATCATCGCCACCATCATCTTCCACAGCATCGCAATCGTCGTCGTCGTCAACACCATCACCATCATCATCACCATCACCATCATCATCAACATCACCGTCATCATCACCATCATCATCAACTTCAGCATCATCATCATCACCATCATCATCATCAACTTCAGCATCATCATCAACATCATCATCATCATCATCATCATCATCGTTGTCACCATCATCACCAACAACAACATGTTGGTCCATCCCATTACTCATGTGCCTCAACCTCTTTGTCAACCTGATAATCATCGTCCCCCCTCCTCATCCCCACCATCGTCGTCCTGGTCATATATCCCGCGGGTCTTCTTCCCCTCGTCCCGTTATCATCACCGTAATCCGCACCATCGCTGTTCTATTGTGGCATGTGGCGGTGCCATGCAAGCATTGCTAGGCCGACAACCGTGCATCACGTTGAAGCGACGCCGCTTGAATAACCGTTGTCCCTGAACCCTCTTGGTGGACACGGTGTGGAGGACGGGGGGATAATGAAGAGTGGGGGGAGGCGAGGAGTAAGTGGGGAGGAGGGGGGCAGCTGAATGAACAGGTGCGAGGAGAGACGACGGATGGGATTAAGGGGGTGAGGTAGGGGGAACGAGGCGGGAAAGGGGGGAAGCGGAGGGAGAAGGAGGATGGGGGAGGGGGAGAGTGGGAGGAGTGGGAAGGAGGACTAGGGGGAGGAGGAGGAGATGGACGGGCGAGGGGGAGGAGGGAGGAGCACGGGCGAGGACGGGGGCGAGGGCGAGGAGGGGGGGGAGCCCCTGCCGAGGCGCGCAGACAGGCCTCGGTGTCGACTCGGCTCGTGGTGAAGTAGCACCTCCCCCGCGCCCTGCCGCCCCCTGCCCCGTCCGTCGACCAGAGGTGTCCTCGGGCAGGTGGCAAGAAGGGGTGACCGAAGGGGGGGGGGAGTGAAGAAAAAGCGCCCTAACGGGGCCCTGTTCTTCACCCTCCTTCTAGATCACCCCCATTACCACCCGCCCGACACAGGTCCCTGGTCCAGGGTGTCGCCAGGATCAGCAGGGAAGCCGTCCACGGCCTCCAGATCGCCCTTCACGAGGCCCAGAGGGCCCTCCAGGGGCCCCCAATTGGAGCGAAAAGCTGGGGACATCTTGGGCCAGGGATTCATTTGGCAACCCCAGGCCGTGTGAGGCCGTCATGGGGCCGTCCTGTGAGAGGTTGCCCCCGCCCTCCCTGCCCCCCTGGTCCCCCTTCCCAGCCCCCCGCACATTCCTCCGCGGACCCTTTCCCTTTCCTATCCTTGCCTTGGAACGGGGAAGATCAAACGGAAAGGCCTCCGTCTGGCTCGACTGCGACGATGCCCGGCTGGACATCGTCGTTACCTGCTCGCTCCGCGCCCCCCTCCCCCCAAGGCCCCCCAAAACCGCCGCGCCCTGGGCCGATCGCCGACCTCCTCGCCCTCCCCACCACCGACTCGTTCCCCCCCCCCGCGCCCCCTCTCGTTACGAGGCAAATCCTCAGGAGTTCATTCCTAGGGACAGATTGGGCCAGGGACACCCTTCCGAGCATCCTTTTACCGATCCCTATCCCCAGTGGCATGGCCTAGGCCCCACTGGCCGATTTCCTCCCCCTTCGGGGCTCGAGGTGTATATCCCCAGCTGGGGCGGCGTGCTGGTAGGGCTGGGATACCATGGCCCGATGGGGAAGGGGAAATGTTAAAGACTACCTCCCCGCTCCGCGTCCGCGCCCCTTCCGCCCACGCCGCGCCCCGCCCATGCGGGCGCCGCCCGCCTGCGGGCCCGCCCCGCCTCCCTGGATCACGTCTCGCCGCCCTCCTCCCCGCCCTCCCGCCCTCCGCCCCCTGCCGTCAGGAGGCAACTCCCCCCCGCCCTGCCGCTCCGCGCCCCCTGCGCCCATGGTGCGCCACACCCCCCGCCCTGCCGCTCCGCGCTCCCTGCCCTCCCATCGCGTTCCTCGCCCCTCTCGCCCCCGACACGCCACCCCTCCCCCCTCGCCCCCTCTCTTGTAAGGAAAAAACTCCGCAGGAACTGCTTCCTGACAAGGGGGGCTCGTCGGGATTACTAGGCCTCGCCGGATCAATGAAGGCCAATGGCCCTCCCAGGATTCATGAGGATTAATCGAGATTAGTTGGTCTCTCAACTGGGATGAATGTCCCTCCCAGGACCTTGGGCGGGCCATTGAGCCCGAATAGAAGAACATTTAACCGACCTAGGCTGGACTCAGCGTAAGATTGAGCCGGGTGGAGCCAGATTAAGCCGGATTATGCTGGACTGGGCCGGTTTGCTACCCACGAAGTACCAGCGCCGAGGCTCCAGGAGCTAGTTCAACTCATGGGAGTTCAACTCCGCAACTCCGAAGCCTCTCCCCCTCCCCCTGCCCCCATCTGCGCGTGGCCGAATGGTTAAATTCTCGGAGGTCCAGCGCCGCCCCTGGCGCGCTCCGCGCGCCGCGGAGGGCGGCTGGCGCCGATCCGGGAAAGCCGCGCAGAGCTCCGAAGGTCCGTGTTTGTGCAGCTGTTGTCATTCGACTCCTCTGAGCAGCGTTTAACCCATCCCGATCCCCATCTAGGGCTCCGCGAGGCCATCCCCTCCCCTACCGATCCCAGTCCGCATCCCCATCTGATCACTCCTGGCACACTCTAGTGAAACCGATTGCGCAGGAAACAACGACAACATACACCTAGTCTTCAAGGGTAACCACCCCTTGGAAATAACAACGACATCTCGCTTCAACCGGCACCCCCCCGCTTGCGAAATTTTGACAACGGCCAAAACTCGATTGACTGACCGCACGGTCTACTTCGACCAAAGGCTCAAAACAATGAACAAACCAAACAATTAACATCGACAACACATAAACAAAGAAACGGGTTTATTCTGAAATCAGAAACATACATTTGCGAAGCAGGGGCAATTTATTCAAAGGCAATCACAAACGTGGTCTGGAAACTAACATTTCGCGTTTAGATCCACTCTGCTTTAGTTTCACCACGCGCGAACATTAATGGTTTCAAACACGCTTCTTTCGCGCAACCGCCATCGTCGTGCTACCGCCGCGCAAAATTTGACAGCGCTGGGCTGCCCTGAAGGGTTGAACGGTGCCCGCCAACAAAAAATCGGCAACGAAATCTTGGATCCGACGGTCACCCCAGTCCAGCAGCGACTGCCAGGACTGATCCCATCTGGAGCAACTATCTTCGCGCTTCGCGCTCCGCGAAACGCGATTATCTTTGCGCTTCCGCGCCCCCCCCCCGGAACAGGGTGAGGGACTCGCGCCTCGCTCTGCAATCGCCCAGGCCGCGAAGCGCGACCATCTTCGCACCCTTGTTGTGGCCCTAGCCCTGTGGGCGTGGCCTGGGCCAGCATGGCCGATTTATCCTCTCGATGGAGATATAGGCCGTTTCCTTCGGGCTTCGATGGGGACATCCCCAACTGGGGGAGTGAGATGTTGGGGGTCTGGATGGGGATGGGGATAGAGATAGAGATAGGGGTCGGTTAAACGATACTGATCCTCCCTCACCCTGCCCTGCAGCGTCTCCGCCTCCCTCGCCCGTCAAACTGAGGGCGGGCTTCGGCTCGACTTGCAGCGCCAGGCCGCCTGGCATGCTCGATCGTCGTGCGCCAGGCGTCTGCACGCTTCCCCTTGGTTCAGGGTAATCGCACGCCGTTGGGCCCGCTCCAGCGTCTGCATCTGCAGCTCAAATGCGGACCGCGAGGCCGCGATATCCTGGGGCCATCTCGAGAATGCCAAAACGGTGCGGTGACAGACCGTGCTGTGACCTCGGAATCACCAAAGACCTCACCACACGGTCCGTCACCGCACGACTTTGAGACACTGGAGGTCCCTCCAGGGTCCCAATCGCGCAATACATCCTCGGAGAGCGACCCGAGTCCCCAAATCACACGATCACCCTGAATCCCCACTGCCTCACCACACGTTGTGGTCACCGCACCTTTTGCTGGGGCCCCCCGACATCGACCATCCCGTTCTTGTCCTTGCCGCTGGAGATGCTTCACATCTCGCTGATCGCGGCGGCCTCCTCCTCAAGCAGCAAGCGGGCATTAGCGAAAACACGCGGACAGTACCGGCAGCTCGGAAACTGGCGCCCACGCCGACGGCGAAGAACCTGGCGTTCTCCATCGGCGCTGATCCTCATACCCGTGGTGCTGTGATGCCCTGGTGGTGCTTGCGCTGCTCGTCGTGCTCGGGAACCCCTCTGATACAAGGCCAGAACCAGAACAAAGTCGGACCGGAACAAATCGTGGATCTCTGAGATACGGCCGTTCTGGAGGATGTATCGGGCGCCGCGCCCGTTCCAAAGCGTTCTGGAACGCTCTGCAAGCGTTCTGGAACGCTCTGGAACGAGTTACTCCCGTCCTGGCCCCGCCCGAACCTGCCCCTGCACACCGCGCAGTGGTCGCCCTCGGGCCGTGAACTCTCCAGGGCAACCGCTCTGGCCCAGGCCGCGAAGCCCCTGGGGGTGCCCTGCCACAGGGATCGTACGTCCTTGAAGAGATCGGCTGTTTCCGAAACGTCCGATCGTTCAACTCCGACCGATTCTGGCTCGCCGGCGGCGTTCAACGTTGATCGCCAGCGGCGGGGTCGCCGCCGGCCGACACGACACGAGCCTACTGTAGATGCTCTGGGCATCGATGACGTGGTGGCCCGTGCGTCTTCCTCGGCGGCGTCGTGGTGCACAGCCTTCTGCTCGTCCTGCCCGGCACCTCGCGTGCCGCCGAGGCCGAGCATCTCGACCTCGAGCATCGCCTCGGTGCCGTGGTGCTGCCTCCAGGCCGCCTCGACGCTTGTCGGCTCGCAGCTGCTCGTCCTGATCGCCCTATCGTTCCGCATCAATGGGCGACGAAAAGAAACAGGTCTGAAGCGAGATGACACATGGACCTCATGCGGTAGCTTACGCGGGCCGCTAGCGCGGCACGCCACATTGAAAGCAAGGGCGTTCACGCGCGCCCTTACGCGGGCAGCTTACGCGCGAGTGTCGGTGCAGACGACTCTGTTCTTCTGCGCTGCCCATCTGGCTCCATGGAGTCCAGGTGGAAAGCGAGCAGCGGGTGCCAGTGGCTCTCGAATGATGGTGCAGCGTGCTTCAGAGCAACTGAACGGTGGGTCCCATGCCGCCTCCAGGCAGCCTCGCCGCTGATCGGTCGGTAGCTGAGAGTCCCTGACCACGCCACCTCTCTGCGCCTGGCGCCACGGCAACCATGTTGGAAAGCGAGCAAGGGATGCCAGAGGCTCTGGCATGATAGTGCGGCGCGTCTCAGAACTGTTGTGAACGGTGAGCTGACAAGCTGGTTTCCGCGGCGTCAGCTCTGAGTGACGACCTTTCCAATCTTGCCTACCATGGGGTTGCCGCCATCAATGTCGCCATCACCACCATTGCCGCCTTCGTAATATGTACCACCACCGCCACAGCCGCTATCGTCACCGCCGTCGCCACGCTGCGCCATGCTGCAACATGCAATCATGTGCCGTCCCAGCCCGCCCCCTCGTGCTCTGTCCAATCCCGCCTGCGAACGGCACGCAAATGCAGGTAGCGAGAGAAGATCATCATGAAGATCGACCTGCCAGGTCCCCCACCCGCCGCGGCAGGGATCTGAGCGCGGCGCGGAAGCAGGCCGAAGAAGCTGGGGGGGCCGTCGATTCTGCAGAAAGGGGAGCCCCCCCTGGCGCCCCTCTGACGAAGAGCGATGTCAAACCCCGTTTTGCCGTGCGCACGCCTGTAATCTGCTTTTGGCCCAGGTATGCGGACGCACGGGCAGCTGGCTAGATGCACACTGGTGGTCGATCCAACCACCTGCGCTATTTCAGTCTAAGCGCCCATCGCTTCGCGATTCCCGTCAAAGTATATGTAGATTCGCGCTCCAGGGCAACGACCCCTGGTAAAGCGCATTCCTGGCTCCGTCCGCCCGATTCTTCAATCTCCTTCCCTACGAGGCGAAGCCGCCAACAAACCAGCCAGCCATCCAAACAGCTAGCCAGCCAAGCAACCGGCAAACGAACCAGCCAACCTGCCAACCAGCCAGCCCATGCCAGCCTGTGAACCAGCCGAGCTCCCAACCTGCCAACCAATTAGCTAGTCAACCAACCAACCAGCCCAACTGCTCATGCAAACAAAGCGGAGGCAGCGGCGGGGGGCGAAGCCCTTTTGATCCACCGCCCGCTGTTCTCGCCTGCCACCAGCTCACTTTTCCTATCCCTTCTCCCACATCTTGCTGCTGATGATGCTGTTCACCCAAATCTTCCTGCCACTGATTGCCATTCTCTGCCGACGTGCAGGGCATGCCATGAATGGCGACAAACAAATTGAGCTTCAGGGACCATCCCGCAAGGCACGCCCAAAGCTGCCACACGTAGCCCGACGCGAAGAACAGAATAATGCTGCACGATACCTGCAATGAACGCCAGCGATCGGGCGGATGAGTAACCGAAGCCGCAGCGGCAGTGTGTGTGTGTGTGTGTGTGTGCAAGAGAAGGCGATAGTAATCAGAGCGGCGTCCTTGCGTTGATAAAATGCGTCACCCTTCACCGAGCAAATCTGTCAATGATCATCGTTTTGGACTAATTATCCGATGGTTTGGCGACTCCAGACCAACGTGGAATCTGAAACGGAGTGGGATTAGCATCCTCGCTCAGGCGGTTGCAATCCGTAAGGGTACCAACTCGCATTGCTGTGGCTCAAAAGCTGCTCGGAGCTCATCGCCGTGGCCTTCCTCCTCGCTTTCTTATCGGCTGTCTCAAGCCCCACCTCCTCGCATCACTTCTCCAGCGCCGCAGAATCATCACGCCCCTCAGGGAATCCTAATCCTCCTGCTCCCCTATCATCAGCAACAGCAGTATCATCCGCTCCCTCGCTCGCGCATCAGCCTACAAAAGGCGCGTTTCGAGCACGCGGGATCGAATCGGTCGGCGCGGGAGAGAACCTCCGCGAGGGCAGCACCTGCTGACTTGAGGGCAGGCACGTGGCACATCAGAACGTCACCGCCAGCGCGCCTCACCAGCGCAGCGGCACTCCTTGGCGGCGCGCAGCAGGAAGATTCCGGGGGCCGGGCGAGGAGAAGGCCGGCCTGCCTGGCGCATCAGGAAGCCAGGCCAGGGGGAAGCCAACCTGCCTGTTGGAGGCCCCCCTCTCTTGGAAGCCAGCCTGCCTTCCGAGAGGCCCCGTTTGGAGCCTCTGCCAGGGAGCGGGGCCCTTCCGAGGCGTCCCCTCGCCTTCTCGAGAAGGCCGCCCACCCCGTCCCGCCACGCTTTGCGAGCCGCTGGACTCCAGCCTCAGGCCGGGGCGCGCCTCTCCAAGATCCGTACTTTTTTGACGGCGGCGACTGGGGTCCAAGACGCGGTCGGGGCAGCCCGGGGACGCTTCGGGGCCTAATCGGGCACAACAGCAGAAGGGCAAGCGCGGAGGGGGGAGGAAGCCGCGGGGGGCGGAACACGCTCAGACTGTGAAGATCTTGCACGTGTGAGCCGGAGCGCAGGCTTACACGGGCAGCAAGCGGGGAGTGGTGAGGCGGACCTATTAGAGAGCAGCGACAGGGTCAGCCTGCGCTGGGCAGGGTTTTGACGGGTAGGGAGAGCGGGATGGGGCGGCGAGGCCAGAATGGGAAGAAGACGGAACAGGGCAAACTTCGACCAGTTTGTAGGCGCGGGTGAGATAAAGGTGTGGGCTTCTGTCACGCAGGCGGTGGAGAAAAGAGGAGCGGAGAACATGAGGCAGGCAGCCGATCGGGGGCCAAAACAATACCGATACTGACATTCCCCAGACCTCTCCTGGTGCACTCTCTAAACAGAATTTCGAAGCGAATGTGGCCGTGGCGACGAGGGCCCCTAGGAGGCCCAGAAAGGCGCACATGATGGAGGGGAGAGGAGGGGCATCGGTATCGATGTCGGCTCCTCCTGCGAGCCGATCTCTCTGGTCAGACCCTGCAGGGAAACACAAGAGTCCGGGGTAGACAGAAGCCCCTTTAGTGGAAACGACACGGGACCAGACTCAGCGGGCGCAAGCCCGCGAAAATCTCGAGAGCCGAGAAAGGGCAACTCGCCAGTCGACTTGGCAGGGCAGGGGTCCTGTCAACCTCCTAGAAAGTTTTCGGGCCAAAACTCGGGCCTGCAGCGGCCATTCGGAACGATCCGGGCAACCCCAGAACGCTCTCTGGCCCAGTTGCAGCTGCTGAAAGGCATCCCGAGGCTGGAAAGCCGCCGAGAGCGAACGAGGAACCTGAAAACCTCGAGCCTCGAATCCTCGGAGCCCCACCCCCCCAATTTTACGTATCGACCTTGGCGGGGTTGACGGGGAACGTTAGGGCGAGACTGCCTCGGGGGGACGCATCGGGGCGGAATCGGCGATACATCGCCAAGAGATCGGCGATAGACTCCCGATAGCGAATCCGCACGCTCCTGGGCGGAGTGGGCTATCGGGCCCCTATCGGCGATGAGTGTGCGATTGGGGGTCGATGCATCATCCCCCCATGGGCCTATCCCTCCCTAATGTTCCTGCGGCAACTCATGGGAGCCTCACATACCACCTTGTTGGCTCCTGCGAGTATCGACGCTGATCGACTCCAATCGACGCCAAATCGACGACAAATCGACGAAAGTGCGCCAGTGGATCTCCCTGAATACACTAAAGGGGGGGTGTCCAGAACCCCCCCCCCTTCCTCCCTTCACGGGGGGGGGGGTCCGAAACCCCCTCCCCCCCTTCCCCCCTTAAGGGAGGGGGGTCCGGACACCCCCCCCCTTCCCTCCCCTTTGGCGCTGAAAGGGGGGGGGTTTCGACCCCCCCCCTCCCCCCCTTTGCGCCGGAAAGGGAGCCGGGAGAGGGAGCCTCTATCGTTTCTCCTTTCTGCGCCAGAGAAGGTGTGTAGGGAGTACGGATTTGTGAGTAGGGAGTGGTGACTAGTGAGTAGTGAGTTAGTGCGTAGTGAGTAGTGAGTATTGGGTAGTGAGTAGTGGGTAGTGAGTGGCGAGTGGGGAGTAGGGAGTAGGGAGTGGGGAGTAGTGGGTAGTGAATAGTGAGTACTGTGTACTGATAAGTGAGTAGTGAATGGCGAGTAGTGAGTAGTGAGTAGTGAATAGTGAGTACTGAGTAGGGAGTAGGGAGTAATGAGTAGTGGGTAGTGAGTAGTGGGTAGTGAGTAATGGGTGATGAGTAATGATTAGTGAGTAGTGGGTAGCGCGTAGTGCGTAATGAATAGTGACTACTGGGTAGTGTAGAGAGTAGCGAGTAGTGAGTAGTGAGTAATGAGTAGTGAGTACTGAGTAGTACGTAGTGCGTGGTGACTAGTGAGTAGTGATGAATAGAGAGTAGTGGGTGGTGGCAGTGGGTAGTGTGTAGTGACTAGCGCGTAGGGAGTAGCGAGTAGTGAATAGTGAGGAGAGAGTAGGGCGTAGTGAGTAGTAAATAGTGAGTAGAATAGTCAGTAGTGAAAAGTGGGTAGTGATTAGTGAGTAACGACTAGGGAGTAGCGAGTAGTTAGTAGTGAGTAGGGAGTAGGGAGTAATGAGCAATGAGTAGTAAGAAGTGGGAAGCGAATCGTGGGTGGTGAGTAGCGATTAGTGAGTAGTGAGTAGTGGGTAGCGAGAAGTGACCAGTGACCTGTGACTATGTAGTGAGTAGTGAGTAGTGAGTAGTGCGTAGCGGGGAGTGAGTAGTGAGTATTGAGTAGCGAGCATGGGAGTGGCGAGTAGTGAGTAGTGAGTACTGTGTAGTCAGTATTGTTTAGGGAGTAGGGAGTAGGGAGTAGCGAGAAATGGGTAAGTAGTAGTGATTGTGGGCAATGAGTAGTGAGTACTCGGTAGTGGATTAGTGGGTAGTGGGTAATGAGTAGTGGTTAGTGAGTAGTGAGTAGGGAGTAGTGAGTAGTGCTTAGTGAATATTGAATAGTGGGTAGTGAGGAGTGAGTAGTGAGTGGTGAATAGGGAGTAGTGAGTAGCAAGTAGTGGGTGGTGGGTAGTGAATAGTGGATAGTGAGTAGTGAGTAGGGGGTAATGAGAAGTGAGTAGCGAATAGCGAGTAGTCAGTAGTGGGTAGTGAGTAGTGAGTAATGAGTACTTTTCGGTCGGGGCTGGAGTTCGAGGTTGGGGTTAGGGTTCGGGGTTTGGGTTAGGGTGAGGACTAGGGGTAGGGGTGGCGGGGGTCGGGTTCCGGAGTCAGGGGGCGGCGTGGCGAAAGGGGGGAAGGGGGGGGGGGGCGGCCGAAGGGGGGGGAGGGGCGGAGGGGGGGTTCGGACACCCCCCCTTTGAAAGGGGGGGGGGGGCGGGGGTCCCCGACGACGGATCGGGGAAAGGGAGGGAGGGGGGGGGGTCCCCGACGACGGATCGGGGAAGGGGGGAGAGGAGGGGGGGGGGGTCCCCGACGACGGATCGGGGAGGGGGGGGGGTCCTAACCCCCCCCCATTGGGGAGATCCAGCGGCGCACCCTCCAAATCGACGCTCTCATCGATCACCAGACGCTGGTCGACGCTCATGCACTCTCGACGCTGCCCCTGCAGGGTGGGGTCCCTCTGTCGCCCTCCGACCAGCGGCGGCCGACGGGGCTGGCGGCGCGCGCCGGCTGCACGACGTTGCCCATGTAGTCGTGCCCGGCGCTGTAGCCGAGCGGCTCCAGCTCCTTCTCTGCCTGCTGGCGCTCGCGGTGGTAGTGGTCGCTGTCGCGCGTCGGTCGTCGGTCGTCGGCGTCGTCGTCGGTCGTCCGTCGTCGTCGTGGTCGTCGTCGTCGTCGTCGTCGTCGTCGTCGTCGTCGCCGTCGTCGTCATCGATCGTCGGTCGTCCGTCAACGTCGTCGGTGGTCGTCGTCGTCGTGCGGTGGTGGTGGTCGTCGTCGTCGGTGGCTCGGCGGCGCAACCGAGGTGGGGAATGACAGGGGGCAGGCCGTCCCAGAAGGCGGCGGGGCTTCTCAGAAGCCCTCCGGCCTGCTCTGAGCAGGCCCACCCCTTCTGCCTCACCCTCTTGGCACGCCGCCGGGTGGTGGTGGTGGTGGTGATCGCCGTAGTGCGTCGGTCGGGTGTAACTTCTAGCACCTGTTGGAGCAATGCTTCCATGCCTTTGCATGCACATAATCAGTAGTCAATTTGGCTCTGAAGAATCCCGCAAACGATCAAACGTCAGACCGATACTGACAGAATTCTTGCATCAGGGTGCTTTCATCGTGAGGCTTGATTGTCTTGACTTGATTGGTTGGTGGTGGTCGTCGTCGTCGTGCGGCGGTCGTAGTCGTCGTCTCAAAGACCTGCAGATCAAAGCGAGGTTTGCGCTCCGCCGCCGCCACCGCCGCCGCCACCACCGCCACCGCCGCCGCCGCCGCCGCCGCCGCCGCCGTCGTCGCCGCCGCTGCCGCCGTCGTCGTCGTCGGTGGTTCGGCGGCGGTGATCGTCTTCGTGCGTCGGTCGTAGTCGTCGCCGCAGGGACCTGGAGGTCCAAGCGAGGTCTGCGCTCCCCCGCTCCAGGCCATGGGGTTTCCTCTCATGGCCCGAGCGGGCTCGATATGGGTCCCGCACTAGGAGGCCGGGTGGAGAGCTCCAGCCGCGGACTTCTGCTCGACGATCGCGACCTGTGCCCCTCCCCCCACCCCACCCTCCTCCATCGTCCTCCCTCCTCCTCTCCCGCCACCCCTCCTCCCTCCTTCCCCCCCTCCTTCTCCTCCACGCTCTCGGCGAGGACGTCGCCGACGAAGACGCGGCGACGATGAGGCCGAAGTCGGGAACGACGACGGCCGCCGCAACGGCCCCGCGCCCCGCGGGCTCTGGCCGGCCTCGCCCCTCCCGCACCCCCTCCAATAACGCAACGCCAAGACGAAGGCAGAGCCGAGACAAAAACGGGCCGATACCAATCATAGATCTCTCAGAATCGGCGGGCTTAGAGGATGTATCGGGCGCCGCGGCCGTTTCAAGGCGTTCCGGAACGCTCTGGACGATTCACCTCGAATTCGGGGCCTGCCTGAAACGCCCCCCCCCCACCTGGTGCGTCCTCGGCACTGCCGCAGTGCGTTTGGCACCAGTTTGTGGTGCCAGGCCCACACGGCGGCGCGGGGGCGGCGTAATGCCCCGCTTGCCAGGGGTGAGAAGGCGTGTGATATGATGGGCTGTCCCCTTCCCCCGTCCACCTCCGCTGGGGCCAAGATATTGCATTAGAGCGGGAACGGGGGACTGGGGGGCACGAGCTCGTCAACGCACCCCTAGGGCTCTCCGGAGCCTCCAAAGAGCCACAAGACGGAGACGGCCAAGGATAAACCCCGCGACGGTCCAAGATGACTTCAAGACGGCCTACGATGCCCCCCAAAAGGCTCAAGAGTGCTCCCGGAGGGCCGCCGGGAGGGGCCCAAGAGGCAAACATAGCTCCATCCCGTTCAAGAAAATGTGCACTTTCGAGAGCGTGCGCCCGTGCCATAGCCGCGCCCGCCCACCCAAAAAGGTGGAGGCCCCTCGAAGGCCCCCGGCGGCGGCCCCCCTGGGGGCCGGAAAAGCCTCGAGCACATCAACTTGCTGAGAGGAGGGAAGGGGGAAAGGGACAGGAGGGCGAGAACGTGGCCCGGGCCCACTGGCCAAAACCCGCCGTTGTAACTAATGATTAATTCCCTTCGGGTTTCGATGGGGCCTATCCCCAACAGGGGTGGTGGGAAAGAAGAGATAGGCCGCGGGCAATAGTCACCCTAGGAAAGAGTGGCCTTTGGTGCGCGGCTTTTGGGGGGCGCGAGGGGGGCATGTCCAACCGCGCTGGTCGCCCCGATGGGCCAGCGCCTACGCGTAGCCGAAACGAAGGAAGTGGTCCAACCCAGAATTTCGAACCAGCTGGCCCTTCGTATTTGCCAGAACCGCTGCTGGGCCACCTCAGACCCCCAGCCAGCTCCAAGTGGGGCTGAGATACCATAGCACGATGGGGACGGGGATCGGTGGCTCAAAGATGGGGTCCTGGGAGATGGGGCCCTAAGCATAGGAAGGGATCCAAGGGTGGATATACATTGCTCGAGGCACCTCGTCCCTCAGGACCCCATCCCTCAGGACCCCATTTTTGAACCACCGACGGGGGAGGAGTCGGCGACTCCGAAGGGCGTGGTTTTGGTTTGCACGGGGTGCGGTCTGCAACTGGCGTCCTGGGGGGCACCCAAAGGGGGGGGGGGGGGGGCGGGCGCGGACCTCGACGGGGCCCCCCGCCGCGCCTCGAGGGGGCCCGACGAGGGCAGCGTCGTGCTCCCCGGGCCCCAACGGCGCCGACCGCAAGCCCCAGCCGAGCCAGGCGCGCGCTGCCCTTCGCCCTCCTCTTTCGGGCCCCCCGTCCGTCCCTCCCCCCTTCCGTCCCTCGCCGGCCGGCCCCATTCAACGGTGGTCGGTCCATCTTCGGAATGGCCCCCACGCGGCACCCGCCGGCGGGGACCAATGGCAGCACCCACGGGTGCCTCATGCCATCAGGAAGCAGGAGGCCAGAGGAGCAGGAGGAGCAAAAGGAGGAGGAGGAGGAGGAGGAGGAGAAAAGGGAAGAAGGAGGAGGACGAGGAATCATATCTTTTTTCCCCTAAGAGGCACAGCAAACAGTACAGGAACACGGGCAGCACGTGCACGCTGACGATGCAGGCGACGTACACCAGCTCAACGATCCATAAGAGCGCGCCGAGCACAGCGAACGAGTCCTCCAGACGTTTCCAATGCACGAAGCGCCTCCGCGAGAGACACATCCTTACCAACAATGTCACCCCGAAACACAAATTTCTCGAGGATGCTGCGGAGCCCGAGCAGCTCAGCCCGAGCGAGAACACAAGCGTCCGACTCGTCGACGACGAGCAGCACGCCTGGCATGACATGACAAGAATCCTTCGCATCGCTCCTCGTCGGGCACGAAGGCATCGCAGCGCTCCCCTGAGCAGGGCCGTCCATGGCGGCAGTGGGGCCCCCGTCCATGTGAAGCCGTTGGGCAATTATCCCCCGCATGGGCCCTTCCGGCGCCGCCGCCGTGGGCACCTCGGGAAACTCACAGCCGCGCGACTCCCAGTCCACCTCGACGGGCTTCCACACGCGAGGAAACCAGCGCGGCCGAAACCGAGGCCAACTCCGAGCACTGCACCATAGGAGCAAATGCAGGGGCGTCGAGATTGAAAGACCAGCACGACGTAGTGCAAGCCCTGGCGCGCGATTCCAGGCGGCACCCTTTCTGCATGTACTTGGGGTCACTCTCGCTGGCATCGGCCGCCGTGCGCCCGGCCGCGACCGCATGCAGCGCAACGTTCCGGCGCAGCACGCTGAATTAAGGCTTCACCTTGCCACGAAGCAAGTCCAGCAGGGTGGGGGCCAAGGTGAACACCCTGTCGGAGAACTCGGGGTCGCCCACGGGGGCCTCGACCGCCGCCACACTGGCCACGAAGACGATCCACTTCGACAATCGGAAATAATCGGAGGATGGCGCGATCAGCTGAGGTTTTTGCCCAGTCCCAACGCTTCTTGCGGTCGGAAGAACTAGGATAAAGTGAGCTGGCAACGCCCGAACTCTCCCGTAGATCCACTCCCACCAGCGGCGCCCCGCCAGCAGCTCTGGGCCATGCAATGGCGGCTTGAGCCGATGGGGGGGGCGCGCAGTGGGCGGCTTGAGCCAAAATGGCTACGGAGCAGGAGAAAAAGGAGCAGGATGAGGACGAGGAGGGACGCCCGACTGGGCCACCCGGACGCTCGCAGGTCGGCCCGCACTGCGGCGGGGCACCTCGCGCGGGGCCCCCCTCCTCCTCAGAGCACCCCCGCCGCGCCGAAGGCCTTCCGCGCGGTGAGGTCTGGCACAAAGTTGAGCCTGTGCCACCACCTGTGGCCCGCCGCCGCCCCGCGCGCTCGGAGGGAGCCGAAGGCACCGACGCGGGCGCGAGCGGTTCGGTGGTCTCTGAAGGCTGGCGGATCCAGGGTGCATCTCGGGCGTTGCGTCCTGGGGGGATGGTACGAGGCTGTTTGTTTGATGGGATCGGCGATCATCCGGGTTATCCGGGGGGACCCGCGCATGCCCGCGCGCACCGAAGCTGCTGCTGCCCCTACAGCTGCTAACGATGCTGCGACGATGCTACCATTCGTGCTGCGACGATGCGGGCGCCGTCTGGGAATGCCTACGGATCTGTCTGGGCAGCTCAACCTACTGGGTGAGGTTATCCGGGGGGAGGGGGCGAGCATAATAACCAGGGTCATCGCCGGACCCCGCCACAAAACAACCTCTTCATGGGGGGGGCGAAGAAAGGTGCACCTTTTGTATCTATAGAGACCCCCTGGTGCCCACCCAAAAAGAACACGTTTCTTCATACCCCGATGAATGTCCCCCCTTACGCAACGCCCGAGCATCGGGCCGCTCTGGAGCGCTCCACAACGCCCCCAGAGCGCTCCGCGAGGATTCGCTCGTACCCCAAGGGCGCCTGATCCACGAATGCCCCCCAACTCATGGGCTGCGCGTGAGATCCAGGCGCCCGTTGTCCTTGTCTTTCAGGAGGACGACAAGTGTCCACGTACACCTGTCCTGTCCAGGCCCACCCCAATCCCACGGTCGGCGGAACGGCCTTTCTTTGCCATCGCTCGGACGTCCATTCCCCCTGCATTTCGCAAAATGGGCCACGATGCTCTTCGATGGTCCTCGACGACAAAAAACGCACACGCACGTGCGATGCCAAGCTTCTGGCTTAGCCAGGACAGTGTGCACACCGATAGTCCTGGACTGCCCTGGCCAAGCCTGGTGCCAATGTACAGTTCGCGGCGCCCTCCCGCCGCTGCCCTCCCTGCTTCTGCGCGCATGCCGCGCGGGACGCGGGGTCGCAAGGGGGCCCTCGGCCCACAGGCCTGTTTTCCTGCCCCCAAGCTCGCTGTCCCCGTGACATACTCGCCCCTTACACGGCATTCGACGACAAAGGCCTTGACTCCAGCTGGCTGCAACAGTCGGCCCCTCTCCCTCACGAGTGGCCTTTTTGTTTTTCTCTTTCTTGTTATCCTCCTCTTCCTGTTCCTCCTTGTCCTCTTCCCCCATCTCCTCCCCGTGTTCCTTTCCGCTGTAACCGCGGGATTTGCTTTTTGGCTAGCGGGCGCGCGAAGTAAGTCGAACGCCGATCGCGCTACGGCGGGCCGCGCCGGTAGCGAAGTGAAAAGCAGCGCAGGCAACGGCGCCAAGCCGGGGAACCGACCAGGCAAGCAGGCAAAAGAGCGTGCCGAAGACAAACACCACGTAGGCGCGGCAAGCATGGCGACCAAGAAATACAAGAACTACACGAAGAAACCGCATGGAACGGAAACTGAATCGGAAAGAAGCTCACCGCGCGCCAATGGAAGGCGCAGCCAAAATTGCGCGAGAAGGCGACCAGGTGGCAGAAGAAAAACACCGTGAAACAGTACGCTGTGAAATAAGCGGGCGACTCGGGCGACGCGAGTAGCGGACCAGCAGGAACAGGCGACCGTGCCATACGGCAATGCCACCCAGTAGCCGAGTCCGATCATCCCAGGGGCAAGCCTTGCCTACAGGTAGAAATGCAGATGGCCGTAAACCGACACCGAAAGCCCCGCGAGCGCGAACCAGAAGATAAAGCTGGTCTGCGCGAGCTGACCGCGCAAGTGACGACGCTCACAAATGAAAGCCCAGCGCGTACCCTAAGCCAAAAAGAAACCTTGTCGTACAGGTAAGACTTCGAAAGGCCGTAGGTTGACAACTTGTGATTCACGTGTGCGGGCCCGAAGGCAAAAGGAAACGGACCGCGCGAGCGAAGACCACCGCATGTGAAAACCCAGCGCGTACCCGGAGACAAGAAGAGACCTTGCAGAACAGGTAGGACTTCAAAAGGCCGTCGGCTGACATCTTGCGCTTCACGTGCGCGAGCCCGAAGGCAAGGGGGCGGCACGGGGGCGGGGGCGCAAGCGGGGGGGGCAGGCGGGGGCAAGCAGACTGACTGCGCGACCCTCCAGGGAGAGGGGCCGCCTCTCGACGGCAAGGAGCGGCAGCGCGACCAGGGGGAGCTCCACCCGCGGCGCCGCTGGCGCCTGCGGCGGCAACGCCAGCGGCGGCGCACCAGCAGCGGCGGCGCCTGCGGCGGCCGCGGCGGCCGCGGCGCCAGCGGCACCCGCGGCGCCAGCGGCGCCAGCGACGCGAGCCGCCCAGGCGGCCGCCCGCAGCCGCCGGCGTCGCGCCGCGGTTTACACCATCGGCGCTGGGCGGGCCCGCGCCTGGCCCCCGCTGACCCCGGAGGGAGGAACACCCCCAGGAGACGGCTTGAGCCAGAGGGTTTGAGCCAGAGGGCTACGGACCGTTGGATTTCGCGCAGCCGCGGAAATCAGCCCGCCAGGTTGCGGATGACAACCTTTGGACCTGGACCACTGTTGGACCTGGCAAGGAGATTTCTGGCAGTGTCAAGATTGTCATCGAGGGAAGCGAGGGGTCGAAGTCTGCATCCAGGTTCCTGCACGGTGCCCCCTCGGCCAAATCCAAGATTCCAAATAATAAAAAACGTAAGTGTTCCCTTGCTGGCTGATCAGACGGCCACTTTTACACCTGCCTGGTCTGCCACCTCTACAGCGCGGGTGATCGACTTGTCAAGTTGGGTCAGCCGTGTTCAATACAAGAATCTGCTGGAGCAGGGGGAACGACGTGGGAGTTCCTCGAGGGCCGTCACCCACGCCATAATGACAGATACTATGATACATGAACTTGTTCGGCGTGGCTATCATCGAAGGGCCTAGCAGCTGTCGAGGCGAAAAGAACAACTCATGCTCGACCCTTCTCCTCCTCCTCCTCCCTCCTCCTCCTCCTCCTCCTCCTCCTCATCATCATCATCATCATCATCGTCATCCTCCTCCTCTTCATTATCATCCTTCTCCTGCCCTCTCTCCTGCTCCACATCCTTCCAGCTCCTCCTCCTCCTCCTCCTCCTCTAAGCCCCTTCCCCTCGAGAGTTTCGAGATAGGGCGCGCGACATTGACGAGTCTGGGGTCTCGCTCAGTCCTCCCCACACGGTCATGGACCTGAGCTACGGGCAGCTCAATCGCAACAAATTCATGGGCCTGTTGAGGGTGGACTTGGGCTATGGGCCGCTTCGGAAGACGCATTCGGTCATGCAGGAGTGGTCCCCGCCGCCCTCGACAGAGCGCGAGCAAAAGGTCGACAAGTACAAGGCTGCCATCCTGGCGAGCCGGGCGTCGCGGCTCCGGACACCGCCGAGGTCAGCAAGGCCGCCGCCGGCCTTGGCAGCTCGGTGGAGTCAGGCAGCCGCCTGCCGTGCGGCAGGCCTTCAGGCCTGCCGTGCGACAGGCCTTCAGGATGGCAAGGGGGAGCAGGCCTACGAGGACAAGGAGGAGAAGGAGATGCACCTCGCGCAGAAGGTGCTCGTGAGCTTCGCGAGCAAGGTGGAGAAGCAGAAGGAGAAGGGCCAGACCTACGTCCGCAGGTGGCGGTGCCTGCGTCCAAGCTGCCGCCACGCCAACTTTGGCTTCAGGGAGGAGTGCCAGAACTGCAGCGCGCTGGCCCCTGCGGGGGTCTTGGCCCTACACGACCAGCAGCAGGAGGAGGCCCTGGAAATAGAGGTGGAGCAGCGAGCCCTGAAGGAGCTCAAGACCGCGCTCTGGGAGCGCAACAGGATGCTCCGCGAGGAGAGGCTGTCGCTCGCGGAGGACAAGAGGATGCTGCTGGAGGCGCGGAAGGAGATGGAGGAGAAGGTGAAGGAGACGGTGAAGGATCAGCAGTCGGACCTGGATCGGATGCTCGCCGACACGCCGCACTACGAGGGCAAGTTGAAGGAGCTGGGCACTGCACGCGCTGCAACGACGTGGCGGAGTCGTTCGCCCAACGTTCTGTGTCGAAGGAACCGCTGGACGCGTCCTCTCCCGCGACGGGCCACGCCTGCAGCGAGCAGTACTTCATAGGGGACTGCGGTGGGAACGATGTTATGTCGGACGTCGAGTTCGATGGCGACGCTTACCTTCGCATGCTGGATCCGCTTCCAGTACCTGGTCTTCAAGGCTTGGGCGGCGGAGGTCAGTAACAAGCAGGGCGTTCTCAAGAAGGATTAGAAGGACAAGAAGGGCCTCGAGTGTACCTCAGGGACTGGAGTTGGACCTCACCGCAAGGCGAGAGCCACGGAGAAGCCCCAGGCGGCGGCTGAGGTGCCCTCGACCCTCACCCAGGAGATGTTCAACGAGATGGGCATGCAGCTGCTAGACCTCCTTGGCAGCGACAAGCCCTCAAGGCGGCGGCGCTGCTGCAGACCGCTGAGCGCCTGGGCATCCCCGTCGAGGGATTCCAGGGCGTGAGCGGCAGGGGCAGGTCGGTGCGATTGGCGTTTCCTCGTCGCCTCGCGGGCTCTGCCTCGATTTCTAATCCGCGTCTCGTTGGCGGCGTGGGCGTTTTGCTCGGGGTCTGGCCTCCTCGTCGCCTCGCTGGACCCCGCTCGACGTCGGGCATTGTCTCGGCAACCGCATTGCGGCGTTGGTCCGCGGCGTTTTGGCCAGCGCGTCAGCGTCCAGAGACACGGACGGAATCATCAACACCCTCAACACCCTCATTCTCCTCTATCCTCCTCTTCCTCCTCCTCCTCTTCCTCCACCTCCTCCAACTCTCTCATCTCATCTTGCTCCTCCTCCTCCTCCTCATACCCTCCGTATTTTTCGACAAAATATCTTCATCACTTTTCGTGACCTGTTCGCGGCATCTGGCCATCAACTCTTACTCGCCCCTCATCCCCAAATGATAAGCCGTTCTTGGGCAATCGAAATGACTGCCAACCCCAAATCGTGTCTCGAACTGCTCCGCTTATCCTTGCCATTTCTCCTCTCGTACTCACCCGTTCTCGTAAACAATGCAAACACGAAACGAAGAGAAACATCCAGCAGTTCCACCTACGGAAGGTGAGCACAGACACGAAAGGCCATACGAAGCCTCCCACCCACACATTTGAATTCGCAAACAACACTCCCAATACGCTCTACCATGTGCACCGAGCGGAGGAATACATATGGTACAATGGGAGGCGTGCGCAATGAAGCATGAGCGAGTTGCATGATTGCCCTGGTACGACATGAGGACAGATGGTGCGGAAATAACAAGTGCAAAGACGTACACTAGAGAGGGCCATGCATCACGTCAACAATCGTGACACGCCAATTGGCTTTCGCCAGCGAAAATATCGCTGCAAACGATCTGGCACACTGTCTGGGTACAATGTCACGCTGCAGCGGAACCATAGTCGCTACTCAACAGCATTGCCCTCCGGATGCAAGCTCTGATCATCCCCGTCTGGCCCTGTTTTTCCTCCTACTCTTCCTCTCCAACTCGCTCACCTTTGGTGGGTCCTGGGTTTCGTCGTCTCCCCTCCGCCACTTCACACCCCTTCTCCTCCCCCATCCTCTTCTTCACGTCCTTCCTTCTTCTCCCGTGTTCTCATCCTCCTCCTCCTCACCGTATCTCCTCGTGCTCGTACTCATACTCTCTCGTAGATTTAAGATTGCGGGTGAGATCGAAATGGAACGGAGTCCCAAACCAAGAAATCAATCTCGACTTCGGTTCGTGTCGTGCGTGACGTGCGTGCGGGCAAGCGAAGCTTCGTGAGGACGAAGCAGATCCCGGCCTGATTAGAACAAATTGCTATGATAATGTTCCTCCCCCCAGGGCCGCCAGGTGGTGGCTCCCAAATTGACCGCAAGTTTCCCGTGCGTGTTTGTCCCGCGGCTGTCCTGAGAGCAGCCCCAGACGGCCCAAGATGCCCCCAAGACCACCTGGAGACGGCCCAAGAGGGCCCCCAAACGGTTCAAAAGGTCCCCAACACGGTCACAGAAGGACCTCAAGAGGGCCCCACGAGGACCCCAAGAGTGGCCAACGAGGGGGAACTCGCAGGGCCCCCCGGCGCCCTCTCCTACAAGAGGGCCCCCAAGACCCCCAACATGCCCCCAAGAGGCCCCCGAGCAGCCCCTACTAGAGGGCTCCAAAAAGACAACAGGAGCCCTGATGAAGGCTCCCAAAAACGCCGCCCACGAGGCCTTCAAAAGGCCCTCAAGAAAGCCCGCAACAGAGGCGGAGAAAGAGGAGAACGAATCAGCAATGAGGGGAAGCGGCAAACAAAACAGACGAAATCAGAAGCCGCACACCACTTCTTCTGGAGGTCAGCGAAAGGGCGCAAGCCTCTTGAATAGAGCAGAACAATGGAGAACACACGAGAGAAGCATTGACGCGACGCGCTCTGGCGGAGTTTAGTAAGCTGCTGGACCTGGACCCATGCCAAGAGTTTCCGATCAAGCTTACCTACGGGGTTCTGATTGATTGGTGTTTGAAGATCCGGTGGGCAACACGACTGCGCTGGCCAGCGGCGTTCCTCGTGTTCCCCGGGTCCCTTTGGTTTTGTAATATGATGTTTTTGACGCAATGCCCAAAAATGGAGACCAATGTCAAGCAAGCCAAGCGATGCCAAGCAACGCAAAACAATGCCAAGCAATCCCAAGGAATTCAACACAACATAAAGCGATGCCAAGCATTGCCAAGCAATGCAACACAATGCAACGCACTGTCAAGCAATGCAAAGTAATGCCAAGCAGCGCCAAGCAACGCCAAGCAAAGCAAAGCATCGCCAGGCCACGCAATGCAACGCGATGCAATGCCAGACAAGACAATGCTGAGCAAGGCCAGGCAATGCCGCGTAGGAAGCGCTCCCCTAGTTGTGGTCGCGCTGGGTTCGTCTTCCTCCCCTTCCTCCGCCGTTCCAACTCATGCCCCCGCTGCGCTCCTTGCAGCGGGAATATCAGGTAGCCGAAGAAGAGGCCTCCTGGCCGGCGGGGCCACGCTGCGTCCGCCCCAACCGACGGCACTCCCTCCCGAGGGGCGGGGAAGGCGAGAGGTCAAACGAGGCCTGGGACGGAGCAACATCGGATCGGGATAGTTCGGGGATCCATTCCTGGTGCCCAGAGCGGAAAAGAAGCAAGAGGCCACTGAAGGGTGAAGGGCCCAAAAGGCGAGATCTCGCATTAGGGAAGTCACGGAAGGGCTGAGGGGAAGGAGAAGGGAAAGGAAAGGCGTTCCCTTTCCCCTCCCCATCCGCCCTTCCCTAAGTGAACAAAAAACAAATAATACCGACATCGCTGGTCCCCAGACCTCTCCAAGGGTGCGTTCAGTTCAGAAATAATCCAGTCATGACGACGAGAACTCTCCCGGACGAGTCAAGGCATCGGTATCTCTTCCTCCTCTGGTCTCCCCACTGAGGTCATCCCCCCTGACGTTGTCCCCTCACTTTCGGTTCATAACTCGGGTATCTGGCGGCCGTTCGGGACGATTCGGGCACCCCTGGAACGCTCTCGGCGAGATGAGTCTGCTAAGACGCACCCCGATGCTGGAAAACCGCCGAGAACCGACGAAAACGTCCTCGAACCTCGAACCTCGATCTTCGAACCTCGAACCTCCTCCTCCTCCTCCTCCTCCTCCTCCTCCTCCTCCCAGCGCATCGGCTCGGGGAGAGGGGGGGGGGGGGGGCGAGGCGGCGTGCCGGGCACGAGCACGTGGAACAGGTGCCCGGAGGCCGCCACCTGGAAGGAGATGTCCTCTCAGGGCGTGGGCGGCACTCGCGGTTTCGACCGCGCCGCTCCACGGAAGGGGGCCTTCTGGGGAAAAGGTAGGAGGACGCCAACCAACCATCCAACTCCTCCTCCTCCTCCGCCAAATCACCATCATTATCGTAATCATCATCATCATCATCATCATCATCATCATCATCATCATCATCATCATCATCATCATCATCATCATCATCATCATCATCATCATCATCATCATCATCATCATCATCATCATCATCATCATCATCATCATCATCATCATCATCATCATCATCATCATCATCATCATCATCATCATCATCATCATCATCATCATCATCATCATCATCATCATCATCATCATCATCATCATCATCATCATCATCATCATCATCATCATCATCATCATCATCATCGTCATCATCATCATCAGCAGCATCATCATCATCATCATCCACATCCTCATCCTCATCCTCATCCTCATCATGATGATGGTGGTGGTGCCATGTTGCAGCCGACCCTGGATTTAACATATCAGGAAGCGAGAAGTGCTACAATCTATAGTTGGCTGTCTCAGCTTATTATGTGCATGCTCTCGGCTTGCAGCAACCGAGGCTCTTGGCCTTGGCGGGGGACGGTGGGGGGCCGCGAGATACTTGAATGGTTTCGGAGCACAAACGGTTGCGAAGCGAACGAAAGGCACACACGATGCACGCGCACAGCGCGCGGGAACCCCCAGACCAGGCCATCGGGCTCCAAGAACCAGGCCAAAGAGCCCATCCGTTTCGGGGGCGGGTGGGGCACAGGCGCCCAGGGCCCCACAAAAACGCCAGCAGACACCGACTCGTTCCTAGAGGTTCCTAGGCTCAGTTCGGGAAAACTCGCGATCCCACCCCGACTATACACTTCCACAACAGTACTCAGTCTTACCCCTGTGATGGTGGCGTCATGTTGCAGCCCGCCCAGGATTTTCACATATCAGGAGGCGAGAAATGCTACAATATATAACTGGCTGTCTCAGTTTATTATCTGCATGCTCTCGGCATGCAGCCGCCGAAGCTTTCCCCGCCCCCCCCATCGCGAGCCTTCTGAAAGAAATGCAAAATGATTACGCACCCCGCGCTGGCAAAATGAAAGCCGTGCACGACACAAACGAGAAGATTACTGACGCACCTGACAGTCGGAGCAGACTCCCAAGCCCGCCCTCGCTGTGTGCCCTCCCAAAATCCAATGACACGTCACTGGCCAACCACGATTACTTGCAACGCGCTCTTGGCTGTAAGATAAAGCACACGCACACATGGGCGGCCCTTAAGGTTCACCCAAGCCCCTAGCAGCCTTGCTGCCGCCAGCTCCTTGTCTGACATGGATGCGCACATGATCGCCGGCAGGGAAAAACGGCTCAACGTGTCGTTTAGCTGCTGTAGAGTTGCCTCCCTGTCTGCCCGCGCGTCGAGGTTGGCGGCGCCCCAGACCGGGCTGGACCATCTGGCCTCGAAGGACGCCTGGCAGTCAACCGCGCGGAAGCCGAAGAACCCTGGCGCGAGCAGTTCGAACGTCACATGAAGCTCTCGATACTGCCCTGGCCAGCGCAGCTCCTGCCAGGACTCCTGCGCGCGCGGAATCGACGCCGACGCGTTCTCCGGGGCGCGGTCGGCCGCGTCCGCTCCAGGGGGGCGGCGTAGCCGCGTCGAGGATGTCCGTCCGGATTCCGGATCCACTTGAGCAGCGCGACGGGGTCGTCTGCTATGCGCCCCGCATGGCGCTTTGCGCCGCAAGGTTGACCAGGTCGACCCCGCGCCAGGCCTCGTCGGGCAGGCTCGCGGACTGCTTCGAGGACGGCATCGCGATGTCCGACGCGCCTTGGCCGCGGTCACCACCGCCGCCAGCCCTCCATCCACGACGTGGCCCGCGGAGACCGACGTCCTCGCCGCCACGCCCAAAATGGCGCCGAAGCGTCCGATCGGCGTCGCCGAGCAGGAGCCAGGCCAGGAACACGGCCGCGACCGCTCCGCTGAGGCAGGTGGGCTTCCTCGGCCGTCGGCCCAACGCCCCGTCGTTGCTCCAGCTCCTGCACCTCCGCCGTATTCCACATTCATGGGTAGGGCGCGTGCCCCGGGCCCTCAGGGTGCTCCGCGAGGAAGACGCCGCCGCGTCGGCCGCGCGCCTCGCAAAGCGCCAACAGGGTTCAGCGCCAGGGCGTTGCTCTCTGCCACTCTGGCCGCCACCCGCGCCCGCGGGCCTGGCAGGCCCCGCGGGCAGAGCCCGGCGCGCACTGGAGGTGGGCCTGGTCGTCGTCGGCTGCAGCGGGCCCGCGACCAGGTAGAGCACGGAGGGCCGCCGAGTGCCACGTCGACCCAGCCCCCCCGCACTGCTCCACCAGCGACGAGAAGGCGGCGGCGTTGGCCAGGTCCCAGCGGGGGTCGCCCGCCACGTCCGCCGAGAGGAGGGGGGCCCGCAGGCCCCTCTCCCTGGCCCCCCTCTTCTCCACCACTGCCTCCACGCCGTTCCCCCGCCAGCGCCCCGCAAACTGCTGCGTCGCCGCCGCCTCTCTGCAACTCCTTCACCGTCACGATCCACTCCTCTACTCCGAAGCCCCGCTCCCGCGGGGGATGGCGCTGCGCTTCGCCTGCTGGGCCGCCCAGTCGTCGTCGCATCGGTGCGCCTGCTCCGCCTCCTGGGTCCGTCGGGCTGGCGGGCGCCTCCAGCCCCCCGCCATCCTCCGGCCGCCGCGCTGACCGTCGTGAGCAAGGCCAAGCGCGAGCCGCCCATGGCCAGGCGGTGGCAGCAAGGGGCCACCCAGCCTGCGGGCTCCAACTGGTCCTAGAATCGCCCGCTCAGCTTCTCCCAGACCTGGCGCGCTCGGATGGGCGGGCACGCCTGCCATCGTGCCATCCAGGCTGGGGCCCGCAGCGGCGTGAAGGCATTGTCCTCGTCGAAGGCCGCCGCGCCCCGCGCGTCCGTCGGCGCGCGCGTCGAAGTCAACGCCGCCCCGCCGTGCACCCCGTGATCGCCTCTGGCGTGGGGGTCGGCCCAGACGTAGTTGATCGCGCGCATCGTGGGGATCTTGCGCTGCTTCGTGATGTCCTTCTTCGGCGCCGCGATAAACCCGCAGCAGGCCCGCGCGTCCTCGGTCGCCTCGAAGGCCCACATGTCCTTCGGGAGGTCGCCGTGCAGCAGGAACCTCGCGCAGGCGTCGGTCGACCCGCCCACGAACGCGAAGCGTGCCTCCAGCTCCTCGAACATCGTGCCCGACTTCCCGCTGTTGTCCAGCACGTTCTTCCCCTCGCTGCAGAAGGCCCGCTCGCCCTCTGGCAGCGCCTCCAGCAGGTCAACCGCGCGGTCGTCCTCAGGCTCGGCAACGGCGAGCGCGCCCAGGGCAACATGCCTGGTGATTCCCTTTTCGCTCTCCTGCGTAGGCGCCCTGCGCTCGCCGCCTTGAGCCGAGTGCCGTCGGCTGGCCGCCTGTCGAAGCAAGCCCCTGGCAGTCGCGCTCGCACCTCGCCGCGCCCTGCAACGCGCGCTGCTGCGCGAGCCTCCGGGCCGCCAAATTCTGCTTGTCGCCCGTCTCTCGTCGACCTGGTGGTCTCGCCCCCAGGGAACCGCGGCCCATCCCGCCCACGAGCTCGACGAGCCCGCAGGCCCGACGCCGCCCGCGCGCAGACGTCGGGCCACCCTCGCGCGCAGCCTGCCCGACGAGGGCTGGTGTTGAAGAAGTCGATCTGGCAGAGGCACGGGGAAGAAGGTCCTGGCGCGGGCCTCCATCCACTGCGGGGCCCACACGAGCGAGCCAGGCTGTCCAATTGCTGGCATTGCTGCCTGCCACCGCCGCGGCAGGGCACCATGTCGGGCCGAAGGTAGGCTGCAAGTCCCTCGGCCCGCCAGCTCCCGTCGTGCCTGGGGCTTGCCGCGGCCTAAGGGCTTGCTCTTTCGGCCGCGGCCCCGCCCTCCGCCGTCGCCCCCCGCTGCCTCTGCCACCAGCTGCCTGGTCGACGCTGCCGCCGCTGCTCCGACTGAAGCCTACGCCTCGACCGACTCCACAACCTTCCGGCCTCCCCGAGGCGGCCACGCGCTCGCCCCGCTGGCGCTCGGCCTTGCTGCGCGCCGCGGCCTCCGTCACGAGCCGCGTCGGTGCCAGGCCAGCCGACGACCCTGGCGGTCGCGCGGCCAGCATGGCCGCCGCGCCCACCTTGTCCTTCGCCCGCATTCGTAGACGTAGCTGGCCAGCCGTCGCAAGCGCAGCTCCAGCGCGTCGCCCGACGCCAAGCGCGCGAGCGCCTCGGTCTGTGAGCGGCAGGCCCCCAGCAGGCAGTCAACATTCGCGGCCGCTGTCCACAGGTCGGTCCACGCTGCGGCGCGCCTCTGCCCGCGCGCCTCCCACGACAGCCAATCACGAGCACTGGCCGCCCCTGCCCCTCGCATGGGTCGGTATATCTCCTGGGCCGCGCGTTTCAGGTCGGGGGGCAAGCTCAGGTTCCACCTCGCCTCCTCCTGCTGAGCGGCGGTGGGCGGCGCCCGCGACCAGTGGCCCCCCAGCGAGCCCGCTGCCGCGGCTGGGCGTCGGACAGGCCAGCGGGCTCTCCAGCTCCTGCGGCAGCGAGGTCCCTGGCGGACTCTTGGTGCCAGCCCCCACGTAGCCGTGGCACTGCAGCAAGCGGCGGAGGTCGGGATGCAAGCCCCGGGAGCAATCCACCGCGTGGGTCCTCACCCAGAAGTGCCAGCCAGGCCCAGTGCAGGTCGGTGGTCGACCGAGACTGTAGCTCCGTCAGCGTAGCTCGCACCATGTTAGCCTGCATGCCCAGCTTCACTGCGCCCCCTGGCGCGAAGGGCGCGCGCGGCCCACTGCCCCCGCCCCCGACCCCAACGGCGCCAGAGGCGGCCAAACCCCCCAATCCTGGATGGGGCCCTCTGGGCCGCGGCCGTCTGCCTGAAGGGGCCCTCCACCGCCTGGCTCGGCCCGAACGCCCTCAGAGCCTTGAGGTCCCGCGCGCCCGGCTTCTCGGCGG